AAAAAAGGAGTCAAACCCGCAAGTATCCCTCCACAGCCGGTTTTCATACTTGCCGCGACGTGGAAGGAGCAAATCAGAAGAAGGGGATCAAATCAGCTGACGTGGGTCTTGTGACAGTGTGTAGTTGATATGGGTTACAGGTTCCCCCCTCGATCTCATGTACGTCCCCGTACATGGTGGCTGGTTCCGGATGACAGGTTGCTCAGTGGCAGTAAGTAGATGGTCCTCTTCATCTTCCAATGCATGAGTGAAGGCAATGGTCAAGCCATGGACTAGCGCCTGTATACTCTTCAAGATGGGCTGACCAAGCTTAGAGTATTTTAACCGGTCTGGTGGTTTCCTGGTCTGAGTTGATGTTCTCAGAGGTTCTAGTTCAAAGCTGGAGGTGTCAGAGTTAGATGGTAGATCAGCAGCAGAGGACATACTGGACTCAGTCGGCAATTCAACATTGGTAGGTTCAGCAGAGGACAGACTGTCCTCTGATTCCACAGTATCAGGAGCTTCCTCCTTGACAGGGGTTTCTGAGTCAGGGGTTTCGCTCTCTGCTGGCTCAAGAGGAGGCAAAGGGAGCGTAGCAGGTTCACAGAATGGCGTATCAGATGGTACAGTTTCAGTGGCTGGAACGGTGGATGAAGGTTCTGGCAGATTGTGGACAGTGGTGAATTGCAAAGGCTCTGAGACAGAATCATACCATTGATGCGGTATCATGTCATCCTCATCTTCTGACTGAGGTTGTGCACAGTCCTCATCAGAAAGGTTGAGTGACTGCTTCCTGGTTGGTTTTACAGTTGTTCGGTTGGTTCTAGTGGAATGCGGCAAGAACCCACATGGTAAGAGGAGATCTCTGTGTAGAGTGCGAATCGGTTTGGATTTGTTCTCTGGTCGGAGAGTATACACTGGAAGATTTTCTGCTCTTTTTACCACCACATAGATGTCTGGTTCCCATTTGTCTGCGATTTTGTGTTTGCCTCGGAGTTTCACATTACGTGCCAGCACCCTGTCACCAACGTCCAGTTCAGAGGGGGTGATATGTTGGTCGAAACGGCTCTTGTTTCTTCCCATGAGCTTCTCCGCATTTCTAATGGCAATTTTGTAGCTCTTTTCTAGATTTGACTTTAGGTTCTGGACATACTGTGAATGAGTGGGTTGATTGTCGTCCACAGGCAGTCCAAAGACCAGGTCAATCGGGAGGCGAGGTTGTCGACCAAACATGAGCTCATAGGGTGAGTAGCCAGTAACATCACTCCGGGTGCAGTTGTATGCGTGGACCAAGGGCTTAACAAAATCTTTCCAGTGAGTTTTCTCTTCAGTGGTGAGTGTTCTGAGCATATTCAGTAGTGTTCTGTTAAAGCGCTCGACTGGATTTCCTCGTGGATGGTATGGTGTAGTTCTTATTTTGTGAATTCCAGCCATTTTGCAGAGTTCTTTTATTGTGTGTGACTCGAAGTCTGGTCTTTGATCACTATGCAGCTTTTCTGGGATGCCCTAATGAACCAGGATATTGTCCCAGAGACATTTGGCGACAGTCTTTGCTTTTTGGTTTGGAGTGGGGACAGCGACAGCGTGCTTGGTAAAGTGATCTGTTATTACAAGGATGTTTTTGGTTCTGCTCCTGTCAGGTTCCAGTGATAAAAAGTCCATACAAACCAGTTCCAGAGGTCGATAAGTTCGAATATTCACCAGGGTTGCTGCTCTTTCAGGTAAGGCTTTCCGCTTGGTGCATCTCTCACATGTCTTCACTTTATTCCACACATCATTGGCCATTTTCGGCCAGTAGAATCTCCGACGTACGAGGTCGAGTGTACGTTCGATGCCCAAATGACCCATCTTGTCATGCAGTTCTGACAGTACTTCAGCCCGGCATTTCTGAGGTAACACTAGCTGGTAATAGAGCTGGTCCCCAACCTGCCTCCTTCTCATGAGAATGGCGTTTTGGAGCTCCAGGCGATGTTGGTCTCGGAGTAGAAGGGGCAGTTCTGGGAGTTCATCCCGCAAGATGGGAGGTGGATTTTCCCCAGTCTCTAGCAGCAATATGACATGCCTCAGGGTCTGGTCTTCCCTCTGTCTCTCAGCGATTTCAGCGTTTGTCAGCTGAGAAACAACAGGAGATGCAAACTGAGTGTTGTTGACGAAGCTATCAGGCAAACTGTCGGCATGGGCAGTTAGTGACTGGATGAGTGTGGTGGTGGACATCTTTTCAGCCATGCTATAAACGAGCTGACGGTCACAAATGGCTTTGATTGTGTGCTGATCGATGGAAATTGAGGAAGACTGATCCAGATGATGTTGGGCAAATCGGAGAATTCTCTCCCTCTCCTTTTGGGACATTTGGTCATTGGCGAGTTCTCCATGTGGCCTGCGAGAGAGAGCATCAGCGTCTAGATTCTGCTTACCAGATCTGTACATGATTTTGAATGAAAATGTGGAAAGAGCAGAGAGCCAACGGTAACTGGTGGCATCTAATTTAGCAGCGGTAAGTAGATAGGTAAGTGGGTTGCTGTCAGTGATGACAGTGAAGTTAGTGCCATAGAGATAGTCATGAAACTTCTCTGTAACAGCCCACTTAAGAGCCAGAAATTCCAGTTTGTGAGCTGGATATTTTACTCACACCTCGACAGACCGCGACTTGCGTAGGCAA